AGACGTTCTGATAACAATCAAGAACAACAAATAATTAAGCAAACACTTCCTAATAATGTGGCAGTCAATGAACCTATAATGGATGAGCCACATGAAGTAGTAAATGAACAACAAGAAATGACATTAAGAAGATCTCAAAGACAAAGGAGATCTGCCATTACCAATGATTATGTGGTTTATCTTCAAGAGTCAGAATTTGACTAGGGAATGGAACCAGATCCAATTTTGTTTTCACAAGCCCTTCAAAGTGATAATTTTGCAAAGTGGGTAGATGCCATGAAAGAAGAGTTAAAATCAATGGAATATAATGATGTTTGTGATTTAGTAGTATTGCTTGAAGGTTGTAGAACAGTCGGGTGTAAATGGGTTTTAAGACCAAGAGCAACTCTAATGGCAATATTGAACGGTATATGGCTAGACTTGTTGCCAAGGGTTTTACTCAGAAAGATGGTGTTGATTACAACGAGACCTTCTCACCGATTTCCTCAAAGGACTTGTTTGGAATTATTATGGCAATGGTAGCCCATTATGATTTAGAGCTTCATCAAATGGATGCGAAAACTGCCTTTCTGAATGGGAATTTAGAAGAAGTGTACATGGAACAACTTGATGGTTTTCCAATTGAAGAGAAAGAACACATGGTACATGTGTAAATTAAAGAGATCAATATATGGAATGAGACAAAGCTTCCAGGCAGTGGTACCTCAAGTTCCATAATATCATTACCACTTTCAAATTTAAGGAAAACACTATTGATCGGTGTATATATCTAAAGATCAGTGGAAGTGCATTTGTAATTGTAGTCTTGTATGTTGATGACATCTTGCTTGCTACTAATAATCTTGGCATGATGTAGGAAACCAAGAAGTTTCTCTCAAAGAACTTTGAGATGAAGGATATGGGTGAGGCATCCTATATGATTGGAATTGAAATTGAAATTATTCGTGATAGATCACAAGGATTTTTGGGATTGTCTCAGAAAGCTTATATTAACAAAGTTTTAGAGAGATACAACATGGGTAAGTACTCCGCGAGTCCAATTCCAATTCAGAATTGTGATAAGTTAAGCCTCAAGCAATGCCCACGGATTGAATTGGAACGCAAACAAATGGAGCATATTTCTTATGCATTTGTTGTCGGAAGTTTAATGTATACTCAGATATGTACAGACTAGACGTTAGTCTTGCGGTCGGCTTGCTAGGTAGATATCAAAGTAATCTTGGAACGGATCATTGGCGAGCTACAAAGAAATGTTGAGATATTTACAAGGGACGAAGGATCAGATGCTTACTTATAGGAGATCTGATTATCTTGAGGTGATTGGATATTCAGATTTAGATTTCACAGGTTGTATAGACACTAGGAAATCCACATTTGGGTATGTATTTTTATTAGTTAGAGGAGTAGTTTCATGGAAAAGTGTAAAGCATTATGTTATTGCTGCTTCCACTATGGAGGCTGAGTTTGTGGCATGCTTTGAGGTCACAGTTCAGGGATTATGGTTGTGGAATTTTATTTCAGGGCTTGGGATTGTTGATAGTATTGCCAGGCCATTGAAAATTTATTGTGATAATGTCGCAACAATTTTCTTCTCTAAAAACAACAAATATTCAAAGGGTGCTGAACCTATGGAATTGAAATATTTTGCCGTTAAAGAAGAAGTTTAGAAACAGAGAGTGACTATTGAGCATATCAGCACAAATTTTATGATAACGGATCCATTGACTAAAGGGATGTCACCTAAGACCTATAGTGAGTATGTTGAGAGGATGGGTATTATTGCCCGTCATGACTGATTTATGATGTGTTATATATGTTTCTTGATTTACATTACACTCCTCAGGTTTTAGACACTCTAAGCTCTTGATGTGTTGCTTCTGATTCATATAAATTATTCTGTTGTGTGTTTCTTTATATTATGTTGTTTGGTATATATGAATGATAAAGAAGACAAGATTTGTCCTTGATAAGGACATTATTGTTGGACCATTAAGAATCATTATAGATTGTTCTGAGTATAGAATTTGTAACATGATGCATGGAAAGGGACTATGTTGATTCAATGACATACGACCGCCATGATCCTTATGGGTTCTTGCTCAATAATGTTTATATGCTGACCATTTTAAGATATGGCCTTTGGCTAATTATTATTGTGTACACATTATGTATTATTTCTTAAATATAAAGTTATATAGTATTACATGGATCAAGTGAGAGAATGTTAGAAATATATTAATTCACATGAGATGGTCCATGGTTACTTTGAAATAATTAAATTGGCTAAGGGGCATGATGGTCATTTACCTTTGATGGAGAGGTTAGTGCAGTTAATAAATAACTGCAGTTTGGGAGTTAATAAAACTGTTATATAAAAGGGGTCTTCTCTCTCTATTCCTGACTATTCCTTACGTTAGTTTTCTTTATCCATAAAAAAGAAATCAGTAATTACAATAAGGGAATAAAGAGAGAGATATAGTACCTTCTTTCACAATTCCATAAAGAGATTACTCATGAATTCAGGTATGTATTACGCTTTTCTTAAATAGTGAAAATTCATTAAGTTTCAGATATTGGGATTTATGTTTATGCAATTTAGGGTACAAAAATATGATTATATTATTGTTTCTTTGCCATTGATGAAATTGCAAATACATTTTACATTTGAAGCTTAATTTCTTTAATTTATATGCTAAGAAAATTTATAAGAATAGATTTGCGGGGAATCTTGTTTTTTATGGGGACTTGGCTGGTTTGTCCTGTGACATGAGGGTTTATCTTATTGCATAACTCGTTTCAGTGAATTTGAGATCATTGGGTGTCTTAAAGTGGGAAAATTGATTGAAAGTTAGGATTCTATGAGAATTTACAAAGTTGTGCTCAGTAGCGATGAACTAGTGGCAGTGAAAATAGTGTGTGGATTTTATAATAATTCCAAAACTAAAATCACCTGCTTAGATCTCTATTGATGAGGAATTTTAATTAAAATATGTACTTTGACATTTTCGACATATTTCGGTTTGATGTTAATTTGTCGCTTTATTTAATTTTGAATTTTATAAAATTTCTAAAACCTGGAAATTCAAAAGCATGTGATTTCCAAAGATTTTAAAGAGTTTTAATTAATTTTATTCCTTTTAGAAAATGATTTTATGTTAAAACCTCATTCTTAAGTCTTTATTTTCTGCAAATTGCAATTTTATAAAATGTCAATTGTTACCTTTAATTTATTTATTTATTTTTTCAAAATTTACTCTCGTAGTTACTAACTTGCTAGACAGTATGTTCTTTATTTTACTCATTTAATAATTAACTATTTAGTATTCAAAACTTGTTTTATGATTTTAACATCACTAAGACTAGCAAAATCCGAAAGGATGAATGCTTCACAACTGGAGAAAATACTTCATTGTAATAAATTCCTTCCATTTGGGTGTATCCCTTTGTCGCCAATCTAACGTTACAACAAATATCTTCTTTGTTAGAAAATCCATCATTCTTTGTATTAACCCTTTTGCACCAAATAACCCTCTTATGCTTAGGTAACTCTACAAGTTCCCAAGTCTTATTCTTCTACATGGATCATATTTCATTGTTCAAAGCATGTTTCCACAATTCACAATTTGAACTCCTAACTGTCTCTCTACAAGTAGTAGGAATATCATCATCAACAATTGGAAGTTCATAAACCTTCATATCTTCAAATCAAACAGGCTTGTGATTTCTCTTCTTGGCCTATTACATGCAATTAATTCTTCTTGTTGTGGAGATTCTTAGGATAAAATATCCTCTTCATCTTGAGCATTCTCCTCAATTACTTGAAAGTCACTCTCTATCCTACAGACACTATTTGGTTCAACTATGGTTTCAAACTCCATCCATTGCCTTACTCCATTAGTTATCTTAACTTTTTCAGAATTTGTCTTTTCAACTTACTTCTTCAACATTGTAGATTCATCAAAAGTCACATCCTTGCTATAAACGATCTTCTTTGTATCTAGACACTAGAGATGGTATCTTTTTACACCAACACTATGACCCAAGAACAATGCTTTCTTGGCCCTGGGATCCAACTTAGATTCTTTATTACATGATAATATGTAGTGGTGCCAAAAATGTGTAAAGAATCATAATCAATAGTGGGTTTTCTAAACCACAACTTGATCCAATTGTAGCTGATGGTAAGCGATTAATGAAATTAAAACAACCTCAGCCTAAAACTCTTTGCCCAACCCAACAATGGACAACATACATCGAACCTTCTCTAGTGTATTTCGATTCATGTGTTTTGCCACCCTATTCTAATATGGTTATTTCTCATTGTATAGTGTGGAACAATTCCTTCATCCTGACATACTTTCACCACCATTATCTGATCGAGCTCGTTTAATCTTTCTGCTAGTCTAATTCTTAACCATCTTTTTCAAATTCAAGAAAACTTCCAAAAATTCGTACTTATTCTTCAAGAAATACACTCAAACACTTCGAGGAAAATCATTAGCAAAAGTGACAAAATAGTTCATACCTCCCAAGAAGCAACTTTGGTAGTTCCTCATATATTTGTCTGCACATAATCTAGAATTCCATTCGTTTGATGAATTGTAGATTCAAACTTCACTTTTGTTTGTTTCGTAAAGACACAAAACTTGCAAAATTCTAATTTGCAGGCTTTTGCACCTTTGAAGAAGCCTTGCATCGCTAAACTCTGAGACGCTTTCTCACCTACATATCGCAACCGCATATGCCATAACCTGGTAGCTTCCAAACCTACATCTTTCTTAGAAATTGTAGTTGTTGAACAAATAATTATACTTCCTAGTAGATAGTACAAATTATTGTTCCTCCTAATGCTTTTCATCACCACAAGTACGCCTAATAGAACTTTAAGAATGTCATCTTGCATGCTAACGCTAAGTCTTTTAGATTCTATAACTCTTAATGAGATGCAATTCTTCTTCATTGAGTGGTCTGGTTCAACTTAATCAGACTACCGTGAAATTCGCTACGATTTCTTTCTCTTATCTAATATTGCTCTTGTGCTTAACTTTTTTTTATCTGTTATCCCTCTGTAGCCTGTACGAGATCATTTCAAAAATGATGCTAATGCCCAGGATCTGCTGAAACGTGTTAAGGTATGCCCTTTATTTTGCATCATATTGTGTAAGATTCTGGCTTTGTGATGAAGTTTTAAACCAAGATTTCTACATAAATATTAATCATAATTACAATGAAGTCATACCTTTTGATTTTTATGTGACATCGATCTTTGCTTTGGTTTTCCCAATTTTTAGGGTTACAGAGTTACTAGGTGATGCAGAGGATGTTCACTTGCCCTGTCTTACCAAGGATTACTTAAAATTGTTTACAAATATATTTTTCTTCAGTTATAAAATTTCGTATAATTAGATTATTGTTCGATTATTTATACATTAAAATGATAATTGCTTGTAGATGAACGGAATTTTTACATTGATGCGTACTTGTTCGAGTCATCGATATGAAGATTAATTTTGATGGAATGAGATTAAGTTACAATAATAACTACAATTTTAGAAATTGAAATTTTGAAAACTGGTTGGCTGCCGTTGCTGGCAAGTGAATGCATACCATTGGCATCATTGTGATCTACTTAAGTAACTTAACCAAAAAAAATAAAATACAAAAGATCGCCAGTCAGTGATCAACGCCAAGATGTGGTGGTTTTTTAAGATCCAGCAGCAATAAGCCGGAACACTTTGACTGAAACTTTCCCGGCTTGTTGGGGCTTAATGCTGCCAGATCTCAACAAATTGCCAACACCATGGCATAGATTGCCATCTGGTGACCTTAATGGTGTCAGCGGTGCACATTCATGTTCGTCGACGGCAGTCGGCCACCACTGGCTAGAGTTACAATTTTTTTTAATTTTTTTTTTAAATTTCAAACTTTTTTATTTAAGAACTGAAATTTTTATATATTTTAATAATAAAAAAATTAATTCAAAATATACCTGTTTTGATCTTTTTGCACTGTTAATATATTATCCCTTAAAAGTAAAAGTGATTTTAAAATTAAGAAAAACAAACACTCTATTGGGTTATTTTTAAAGTTGATTATTTCAAAAGTAGACCCATAAATAATTTTGGGGCAAGCTACAACAATCCTAAACTAAGTTTTTGTTGCCAACTGATACATATAAAATAAATTTTCAGTATTTTTACACTATCCTATCACTATTCTACTCAAAATACACATTTGTTCTTCTATTCTGAAAATCTCATTTTATTTTATTAAATTATTTTTAAACTCCCTAGGTTTGTTAATTAATTAAAAAAAAAAAAGTTTAGAAATTAATAAAAATACCCCTATCCATTCACATTTGCCAGATTTCGATCACCTTCCGGCGCACTAATAGTTAGATCTGGCCGGTAATACGTCGATCTAGCTTTTTTCGGCCAGATCTTCGGCCAAAGATCTGGCTGTTGATGGCTAGATCTTTGGCTATAGTTGGTCGTCAACAACGGCCATATCTTTGGCCGTCGTTGACAACCAAATGTGGCGAGATTTGGCTGTCAATAGCCAAATCTAGCTGTAGATCTGACATTTTTAGGACAGATCCACAGTAGATCTGGACGAAAAAGGCCATATCGACATACGATCGACTAGATTTAACCGATCATGCACTGATATGGCGACTCCGACCACCCTCTGGCGATGGTGATTGGCTGTCGGTATTTAATGGGTGGGGGTGTTTTTGTTAATTTTTAATATTTATTGCAAAGGTGTTTATAAAATTAACAAACTTAAGAGGCTGTTTTTTTTTGTTAATTTTTAAATCATACCTCGTATCAATCACATAACTCTTACTTTTTTAAAAATCCTATCTAAAAGAATAAAACAAACACACTATAGAATATTTAATAGGAGTTTTTGACTATTTGGATTCAAAAAGTGGGATAATCATAATGATAAGGGATAAATATGTACTAAAAGTTTGTAGAGTGGATCACGTACACTAGATTAAAGGATTGTTTGTTTGAATATTATCCAACAAAAATTATATCAAGCTATCATCAAGGGTGTATAGCATATGCTAAAGGTGCTCCACAAGTTTTTTCGAGTGGACAAAAAAAGATTGGGAAAGTGCACTAAATAGATTAAAAATAAATCCTCATTGAATATCTAGAATGTGTTAAAAGTTAGTAACGATGGATTAAATGATGAACAACGACATGTATTTTTAGATATTGCATGTTTCGTTAAAGGGTGTAATAGAGATGTTATAGAAAAATTCTTGGATGCATATGGCTTCAACTCACATACTATATTATTCAACATCACAATAAATGATTTACTTCAAGAAATGAGTAGAGAAATTGTTCAGCAAGAATCAATTAATGATCCTAGCAAACTTAGTTAGTTGTGGCATATCTCAGAGGACGTATTAACCTAAAAAATAATCATAATTTAAAAATATTAAGACTTTTAAAACTATAGTGTTGATTTTTTAAAACTCTTATAATAAGTATCTTGAAAGACCATATAGCCATTTATATGTACATGCATCAATAGGATTAATTCCATTACATCCCCTGAAACTCTAAATACTAAACTCCCCTTAAACTCCAAAAACTATCAAGAAGACCCTCTGTTGTTAAATTTAGCCGTTTAAATGGTTAGGGAAAAGGCAAATAAGTCTTTTCATGTACTATTATATGTGTTGTGAAACAAGGCCGCAATACAAAATATTTAGGCCACAACAAGCACCATAACAATAATCACACACACCCAAGAAAGCGGAAATTAAGAACACAAGAGATTTTATAGTGGTTCAACTACAAATTGTCAACTTACATCCACTTGACATCGGCAAGTCAATCCACTACGGAGAACATGAGATTACAAGCCATTTAGGACTTACAAGAATCAAATAATCAAACCCTAGCTGCAGTCTCTACCCCTTCGGACTCAAGGTCTCACCCAATCCCCTATCGAATTAGAATTACAAGCCTCTTTATAAGATGCTTTCTCCTAATTAATTTGACTAGGATTCTTTTAGGTTTTTCATATTAAAGTAGGACTCCACTAGGTTATACTAATCTAATAAAGATTATCCTAAACTAACCTATTCCTACAACGAATCTACCTTTCTTTCACCTAAAACATGACTTGTGCGACAAGCAAGTTCCAAACCCGCGGAATGAGATACCAGCGCAATGAGATTCTCTGTAGGTTACTATCAGCTTAAATAGCATACTTCTGATTCGTCAGACTTCTCTCGCCACAGAGAACTCTAACTAGTAACTTATGTTGATCCACAATAATAATATGTTTAGCTGAATTTTGCGGATCAAAAGAGATTTCAACAACTTTTTTTTTTTTTTTAAATTATTAAAATTATTTAATTTTATTAGAAATACTATCTAAAATATCAAAAAAATAAGAATAAAATAATCAGAATTATTTTTGTAAAAATAAAAGACTGTAGAACCAAGGATTCTTAGAGTGCCCGCTCAACTTCAACTCTTTCAAATGCCAAATCTGAAAAATCAACTTCCATGAGAGAAAGAGAAGTATCGACAGGTGTAAAAAAAATAAAAGATTGACAAAATAGTAAAGATTAAATAATTTTATTCGCCTTTCTTAAGGTGCTTCGTTTCAAGTATGGTGAAACATATGGAAATAGACATGGGAAAGATGATCATATTTGCATATAATTTCAATATCACACATATGCATACCTTATAACTTGAGTTGATATTGCTGTTAGTATTTTGACTATGTATGATCGTATGTCAGTTGTAAATATAATGGTATATATAATTGGATACTAATAATTTTATTTGACTAAAAAGGAAAATTTTAAGGTGTTTCTCTCATAAACATTTTGTTTTCATTGTGGCCACATTATATTTAGTATCAATTCAGAGAGTTGTTTTTAAAAATGAAATAATGTATGTAGACGGTAAAATCTACTGTTGATTCAGAGGGATGAATCTTGTGAGAAGTGAGCCATTGACAATTGGATGGACCTGCACAGAAAGAGAGAACGAACATAAAGTGTCAGGGGACATCAACGTTCAAGTTAGCATGGTTGAAGGTATTTTAGTGAAGGCTGAGAGTGGGAAGGGTTTACCGTAATGGTGTGACTAGGGCAAGACTAACACAAAATAGTTAGAGCACAACTTTGCGGTGGTTGAAGGTGGTAAAGTTAGTCAGAATTAAGCTTTACGGTGAGGAGACTAGTGATTCTTGGGAGCAAGAATTTAAGAGCTAAAGCTATGAGTGATTTCTGAATGAATAATGAGAGGCTTGACACCTATTTATATAGTGAACCAAGGAGGCTGGAGTTCTAGTAGAACTCTGAGTCCATTATAGTCAGACCTGACAAAACGGGTCAAGACCCATACCCAGGTAAATAATATAGGGTCAAGCCTTGTGGACCCATGAAAATTGGACCCGCACTCGGCCCGACCCTTTTTCCATGCGGGTAAGACAAGTGTATCCACGGGTACACGTATTTTTTAAAAAAGAAACTAATAAAACAAAATTCCTAAGAAATTGAAATCCCTAAAACGATACAAACAAAACACAATCCCTAAAAAAATTCCAGAAAACACCCATAAATTTCTCATTTGAACCACCAGCAAATATCACCAGATCACACCTTCCTTGTTCCACAAATGTCCAACAAAAACACATCAACAAACCATGAACAGAGCAACACTCAACAATTACACTAACTATACTATTTTCTGCATATTAAATGCAAGCTATACCTGGTTCTGGTGGGTGTGAGTTGGAGGAGAGCATAATCAAGACGAGTTCTTGAGTCCATTTTAGAGAGAGAGTTGAATGTTGAAGGAAAAGTTGGTTAGAATTTTAGAAGTCCAAAGTCTCAGGTTATGCATTGTGTTTTAGTTCCAATATTCCTGATAAAATTAATAATCTTATCATGTTTATTCTGAATTTGGAATTCTGGCCCTATATGAATGAAATTATTGTTTGTATACAAGTATATTTATGTTGAAGAGCTGCTCAAATTGAGCTATGCAACTTTGGAGCTTTTCCAGCACGAGTAAAGAAAGAGTTAAAGGCATTGGTGGACCTATGCGTTTCTCATTCTTACTATTAATTATGTACCGGCTCTGTGCCAGAGCCACAATTAATATCACCTAGCTGAAATGATAAAATTATTTTTCTGGTCACTTTAACAATGAATGTAAAAATGAAGTCAAAGTAAATGTAAGATCATTGTAAATTTGTAATCAGTTTACTCTCAGCAATTATGGATTAAAATATTCAATGAAGATTGGCTCTTTTAATAATACGTAATTGAGTAGATATGATTTATAATTAGATAAATGAAACCCATTACAAATTGATCAATTACAATTATCATGAAAAAAATTTGGTAAGATTAGATTGTCAACCGAAATATTTTGCCTAAGTACAGTTTCTATTTAATTGTGGAATCAACACTTTTATTTTCAC